AAATGAGACCGCGGCGCCAAAGGTGAAGCTGGAAGAGGCGCAAAACGAAGCCGCGACAGCGAAGGGGAAACTCACCGAGGCGATGACCCGGGTGTCGAGGTTGGAAGAGGAGAAGATAGTTCTCCGAGCAGACGTTAACAAAGTTTCCGCCTCGGTGATTCACCTGGAGAAAGCAAGGAGAGCCAAAAGCGCCAAGGTGGCGTTGCTTAAAAGGCGTATCGAGGCCAAGGACGCGCTGTTCGAAGCCAAGGTCAAACGTGCGAAGAAGGAGGCAAGGCGGGAGCTGACGGCGGAGTTTCAGGAACGCCTTGCCAAGGTGGAGGAGGGTTTGCTCAAGCTCGAGAAGGCCAAAAATGATGAGAACGATCTGGGACAGATCAAGGGCAATCTTGCGATGATTGCCGACCTAAAGAAGCCGGATGCCCCGACGCTTGACGATGAGGAGGCGAAGCTGAAAAGCTGGGAGAGTGAGTATGCCGACGACGAGGCGTACAAGCGTATTGCTTCCGAGATTCGGGGCGAACTGTATTACTCTCCCGTATCGCCGGACTCGGTCGACACCACCCTCAGCAACAAGCCGCTCGAAGAAACAGGGGCCAATTTAGGCGTTGTGGACCCAAACGGCTCGATTGCGGGTATGCCGATTCCCTCGAACCTTCTCGCCGATCGTGAAACGCAGTCCGCGGCATGAGTTTTGGCTCACAAATTTTTCTTGCTTGCTTCTGTACTTAGGATTTTATCCGTTCTCTTTTGAACTTTTATTGTTTTGTGTCTGGACGGCTTTATCCACCTGACTCTTTATTTTCGCTTAATGAATATATTTTCCTTAGCCGTTTTCAGACTTACTTGTCCATTAATCCGTAAAAATGTTTACGAAAAATTGTCAAGGACGAAGGCTGTTATGTTGAGAGCGATTTTGATTTCTTCCTTAACTGTATTTTCGAATTTGACCGAAACATGGGCTAAGGGATGAATTGTTTTAAAGACCTCGTTTAGGTTCTAGGCAAATCTTTGATAGTAAAAGAGTGTTACGTGATAATGTTTAGGCAAATCTTTGCTGGTAATGCCGAGCCGTGTTTACGGCGAGGCGTTTTTGCTTTGAATGTTGCCGAGACGTGTAAATGACGAGGCATTTTTGTTTTGAATGGTGCTGAGCCGTGAAAACAACGAGGCGTTTTGGTTTTGTATGGTGCCGAGCCGTAAGGACGACGAGGCATTTTGTCTTTGTATGGTGCCGAGCCGTAAGGACGACGAAGCTTTTTGGCTTTCGTTTTCGTTAGCCAAAGACGAATCGGTATTCTCATTGAATCTGACTATGGACCGGCGTTTCCGAGAGGATGACTATGCTTGTCCGGGTTTTAGGAGTTTACTTTGGTTTTAGAGAAAGCGATGTAGTCTCGGCTTATATTCTCGTGTGCGATAGTAAACCATGGCGACCTGATACGTTTTTGGTTTGATATTTGTATAGCGCGCTTAATTTTTATCCGTAGGGGATGTAACTTGCACCCTCGTCCTAGGAAAGGTGGTAAAAGTCCGTTTAGAGAACTTTGTATTTGTTGCCCCGTTGTGGCCAGCAACGAGACGAGGCGTTAGGTGGCTTAGTTTGCCGAGCTGAAACTGAGGACCGATTAAGGTCATGATTACTCGCCGAAGTGATGAGTGAAAAAATTAAAAAATCCGAACTTGTTACAATAAGTTGCTGATTTAGAAAGAACGAGAAACTAGCCGAAGCGATAATGAACAGAAGTGAAATAAGTAGATGATTCAAAACGAATTGAGAATGTGCCGAAGTGGCGATGTTCCTAAGTGAGCAAGCTAAAATTATAGAGTTAAAAGAGGTATGTATACGTACCCACTCCCCCCCCCCCCCTTTTAGGAGGGGGGACAGCTGAACCCGTCCGAGGACGGGCTGCCTACGTACCCTTTGCAGGGATCAAGCCATCCCGTACTTCATGTTGGTCGTGCTGTATCCTTAGTGATAGTATTTCTTCAGGTGCATTGTGTTCCATGATCTTGGAATCGCCTCGTCAGCTAGTGTCGCGAGTTTGTAGACTCCTGGACGAACCACTTTTGTGACCTTGTATCCCAATTTGCTCCAAGCTTTCCTGCGTTCTTCTCGGCAGTATTTTCGAAGACCTTCCAGAGAACGAGCTCCCCTGCTTTGAATCTTCGGCTACGAACGTTTTTGTTGTAGTATCGCGCCGTTGCTTGTTGATAGTTCTGTATTCGAATTAAGGCTTGGTCGCGCTTTTCGTTGATTAGGTCGAGCTCATCTAGCATCATTAAGTGGTTCAAGCCCTCCTGTCCTGGTAGAAGTCTTCGTCGAATACCTGGGAAATCCACCTCGGCGGGAATTACTCACTCCGATCCGTAGACTAAAGCAAATGGAGTTTCCCCGATGGCTTGGCGCGGAGTTGTTCGATGAGACCAAAGGACTCCTTCGAGTTCGTCTGCCCACCGTCCCTTCTTGGCGTCGAGCCTCTTTTTCAGACCGTCGAGGATCGTCTTGTTGGCTGCTTCGGCTTGTCTGTTCCCTTGAGGGTATCTTGGCGTAGATTTGCTGAGGCGGATTTTCCACTTCTCGCAGAAGGCTTCGAAGCGTGTTGAGATGAACTGGGATCCGTTGTCGGTGACTATCTCGTAGGGGACCCCGTGTCGGCAGATGATATTTTTCCAGACGAAGTGTTCGACTTGAACATCTTTTATGCTTGCGTAGGAATCGGCTTCGACCCATTTGGAAAAGTAATCCGTGAGGACGAGCAGGAAACGCTTCTGCTTCGAGCGATGTAGAGGTCTGACGATGTCCATCGACCATCTCATGAATGGATAAGGTGATGAAATTGACGAGAGCAACTCGGTGGGTTGATGAATTGTTGGAGCGTGTCGCTGACACTTCTCGCACTTCGCTGTAAATTTCTCGCAGTCCTTTACCATTGTGGGCCAGAAGTAGCCATGCCGTTTAATCTTGATAGCGAGCGACCTTCCGCTGGAATGGTTCCCGCACGCGCCGCTGTGCACCTCGTGCATGATCTTTCTTGCAACCGGTCCTTCGACGCATGTCATGAGAGGCCCTGAAAATCTCCACTTAAACACCTCGCCATCGACGAGGACATACCGCGCGGCCTGAGTTTTTAGTTTGCGGGCTTCCCATTTGTCAGTTGGCATCTCTCCATCGGCGATATACATTTGGATAGCTCCGAGCCATTCTTTGTCGCAGCCGTACTCCGGCTCGGCCGGCGAGGCGTCTTCGTCCATAGGAACGGCTTCGTCGTCCTCTGGTTCTTGTTCAGGAGGATTTATCAGCCGAACTCCTTCCACCTCTTCGATGCTAGGACGTTTGATGAATTCGACTGGGATCGTTCGCCGGAGGTCTGGGTCCGAGGTCGAAGCGACTGCTGCCAATGCGTCGGCCGAGCTGTTTTCTCCTCGGGGGATATGAATGAGTTCTAACTCATCGAATTTTTGCACCAACTCTCGGACCACTTTGAGGTAAGCTCCCATTCGTCTGTCCTTCGCCTCGTATTCTCCGTTGAAATGACATGCTACAAGCTGTTAATCGCAAAAGGTTCTTATCTTTCGAACTCCAATTCCCTGCGCTAGTCGTATGCCGGCGATCAGTGCTTCGTATTCCGCTTCGTTGTTCGAGGCGTGGAAGTTCAGGCGAAAAGACTGCTCCAATATTTCTCCGGTGGAAGAGGTGAGGCGGATTCCTATTCCCGAGCCGTGTTTAGACGACGAGCCGTCGACGTGCAGCGTCCACACTTCGTCTAGTGTTGGCTCGTTTGTTGCTTCGACGGGAAGTTCAATGAGGAAATCTGCGAGCACCTGTGACTTTGCAGACGACCTGTTCCGATATTCGATGTCGTATTCGCTTAGCTCTATGGCCCACTTGGCAAGCCGACCGGATTGGCTAGGGCTGTGTCGGATCGAGCGCAGTGGAAGCGTAGCGAGCACAACAATCGAATGTGATTGAAAGTACGGGCGCAGTTTCCGAGCCGAGACTACGACGGCTAGGGCAACCTTCTCGATCTGGGGGTAGCGAGTCTCGGCGTCGGTTAATGTTTGGCTGATGTAGAAAATGGGCTTTTGCTCGGATCGTTCTTCTCTGATAAGCATTCCGCTTACAGCTGTAGCAGACACTGCGATGTAGAGGAAGAGTGGCTCTCCTTCGACTGGTTTTGCTAAGATTGGTGGGCTCTCCTTCGACTGTTCAATTGTTCGAAGCATTCCCGTAGACGCGCGACGTGGTCTTCCTCCTTGAGTGATTTGACTAACATGTCGTCGATGTATACTTCCATAGTTTATCCGAGCTGAGCTGCGAACATTTTATTGACGAGCCGTTGATACGTTGCTCTTGCGTTCTTGAGCCCGAACGGCATGACTTTGTAGCACTATATCCCGCGATCAGTTATGAATGCCGCTTTTTCTCGATCGTCAGGATGCATTAGGATCTGATTGTAGCCGGAGAACGCGTCCATAAACGTTAACAGTCTATTCCCTGCAGTGGCTTCGACGAGCCGGTCTATGTGTGCCAAGGGAAAGCTGTCTTTTGGGCACGCCTTGTTGAGGTCGGTAAAATCCACACATACTCGCCACTTGCCGTTCTTCTTCTTCACGACAACCGGATTTGCGAGCCAGTCCAGATATTTGGCCTCGGCGATTGATCCTACTTTGAGTAACCTTTCGACTTCGTCGTTAACTGCTTTAGCTCGTTCGGAGCCGAGCTTCCTTCTTTTCTGCTTCACAGGTTTAAAGGTCAGATCCACATTCAGCTCGTGACAGGACACGTCGATGCTTATGCCTGGCATATCTTCTGCTGTCCAGGCGAAATTGTTGATGTTTTCCTTGAGGAGGGAAAGGAGTTCGCTTCTCAGAGGCTCTTCCAGTTTTGTTCCTATTTCGACGCATCGCTCCGGGCGCGCCTCATCTATACATACCGAGTCCAATGCGTCGCATACTGGCTCGGCGCGTGTTTCGCGGCTCTCCGCGATCTGTAATTGCTATAAGAGTTTCGAGAGCTCGTTCGCGGGCTCTCGGTCTGTCTTCTTCTTTTTGCGGTCGATGTCTGCTCGTGCGTCGGTGACGGGGTTCCTTAGCTTATGCTCGGCTAGGCAGCACATTCGTGACTCCTTCTGACTCCCCCAGATCGTTTTAACACCTGCTGGGGTTGGGAATTTGAGGCAGCGATGATAGGTAGAGGGTACCGCCCTCATCCCGTTGATCCACGAAGTTCCCATGATCACATTGTATATTGCTAGGTGATCGGTGACGCAGAATTCGACGATTTTTGTGACTCCGCCAGCTACCACAGGAAGCCTGATCGTTCCCATAGTCATCGTCGTTTCTTCTGAAAATCCGGTTAGAGGTTTGGGGATTGCTTCGACCTCGGAGAGGTCGATTCCCATTCTTCTGAGTGTTTCCCTGAAGATGACGTTCACCGAGCTTCCAGTATCGATGAGCACCCTTGCTACGTCATGATCCCTGATCGTTAACTCAATCACCAACGGATCGTTATGAGGTCGATCGATTCCTGCTGTTTCCTCCTCGGCGAAGGAGATCACTATGTTTGGGATGTCGGTTGGTTCTGTCCAATTCTCCTTCGCTTCGGCTCGGCGCTGATAGGTTTTGATGGAGGATACGGTATCTTGTTAGTATTGGGATCCACCCATGATCATATTGATCCTTTGCCTCGGCTCGGATCGCTCTTCAGGTTCGCCTCTCCTGTCACGCTTGGGGTTATCGCCTCGTCGAGGAGGATTCGCGGGTTCTGCCGCGCCGCTCGGCTCGGCTCTCTCTTGTTGTTCATTAGGGACGAGGTCTTTGATGTTAACCGCGTTTTGGAGCTCTCCCGCTGCCATCTTTGCTACGAGCTTTGCTCCTAACGTTTGGCATTGAGCGGTTGAATGCCCGTAGGTCTGGTGATACTCGCAGAAAGCCTTCTCGTCGTAGTTGGGAGACTTTCTCACCCAAGTGTTGTTGCACGGCTCTCCTCTTCCGCGTCTGGTGCCTACCTGGTAATTATGGGCGCCTCCGCTTCTAGGTTCATCCGAGCTCTGCGTTGTTGTGTTGCTTGATGGGTTGCCTTTCTTCGCGGGGCGCGGCAAAATTGAGCTTCGGATTGCCGCTTTCGTTGCTTCGTACTGCTCGTCCAAGTTTTTCATTTCCTCCTCGTTTACGACGAAGTCTGATGATCGGTGCAAAGCGTCTTGGATTGTTTGCGGCGTGTTGAGAGCCATCTCCCGTCGAAACTCAGACTTGTACCACAAAGATCGTTTCAGAGCCTCGAGTTCAGCCTTGTCGCTTATCCCTTCTATTTTGGATACGACTGCCTTGAACCTTGCCATGTAATCCCGAAGCGGCTCGTTCGGTCCTTGGGATAGTGTCCACAGGTCGGCATCAGATGTTCCTCTGTCCATAAACATCGAGTACTGTTTAAGGAACAAAGCGGAGAGGTGTTGAAAACTGCCGATAGAATTGCGCTCCTGCCTCAAAAACCATTCGAGCGCGGCTCCCTTGAGATGCTCCACGAAGAGCAGGCAGTATCCGGCATCTACTTCGCGTTCGGTGAGTTTAGCGGCGTTCTTTGTGAAGGCTCATCCCATCGCTATTCGAAACGCGGTGATGTGTGCTTTTGGGTCGGTTGGTCCTTCGTAGAACAGGATTCTCACCTTCCCCGGCTCGGGAATCCTGGCCTCCGTGATTCTTGCAGTGAACGGGGTTCTTTGAGTTTCTTCAAGCATTCGATCGATTTCGGGCGCGGCACTTGTCGTGTTGTGCACTTGAGATTTCATGGCGCGTATTTCAGCCACTGTCCGAGCCATAGGGGCTCGCAGCTCTTTGAGCTCGAGAGTTTGTGCGTGAGTCATTCCCTTTGATTTGGGGGTCGCTCCCGCTCCTCTCGCCTCGGCTCGTCTTCGCGTTCTGCCTGCTCGATCCATTGGAGATTTTCTTCCACCTCGGTTGGGTTATCTCCGCGGGTCGGATCGGAGACTTCGTCAGTCCGGATGCCGTTCAGTGCCGAGGCGAGTTCTTCTTGACTAATTCGGCGAGCCGAGCCAGTTTGTTGCGGATTCATGGTCTCGTCGTTCTGCTGGGCGTCTACGTCGATCGCATCGTTTCCTTCTTCGCCGGCTCGTCGCCTCGAGTTTCGGCGGAGAGGGGGCAGCTCGGTTATGTTGACTCGGGGCGCCGCGGGGGTCTGTTTGTCGAGGAGACGAGACATTGGAGGAGCCGAGGGGTTTCTCGCGCCGCTCCCTGAGGCTTCTGCAGGTGTCGAGAAATCGAAGCGTCTATGGATTCCATCCATCGGGTCGGGAATTCCGGCCCTTCAAGTTGGGTGCAGTCGCTCAGCCGCCATCGCGTCGAGCCTCTCTGTAATCGCCTCGTTTCTTTTATCCTGTTCGTTGATTTTCTTCATCAACGCAACCATCATGTTTCGCATCTCCTCCTGGGTTTCGATCGTTGCCGTCGTCGTGCCCGATGTCGGAGCGTCGTTCTCCGCGCCGTTACCGGTGTTGTTGTTGTTGTTGTCGTCGGGGGTGTTGCTCGCCATGTTCTTCGGATCTTAAAGTCTCGTCGATTTAGAGTAAGAAAGTTTCGATTCCCCACAGACGGCGCCAAATTGTGTGAGCCAAAACTCACACAACCAAGAATTTGTGAAGAGAGACTAAGGGATCTGAAACTTCTAGGGTAATCGCAAGAACAGTAAGATCAAAAGAGGATTTTTATTGCTGTAAAGTGTTTAGTCCTTATTGCTTAGGGTTGCCAAAGTTGGCGGAATGAATTGCATACATCATATATTTATACTAACTTTCTAAACCGCCTAGCCGAAAATCTCGGGCGAGATTTTCGGAATATTTCCTTATCGCCTCGTGCGGCTGACCGCCTTTGCATCTCGCCTAGGGTTTTCCATGGGCTTCATCTTTCAAGGCTTTGCTTCGGCCCGTCCAAGCTTCTTTACGGCTCGGCCCATCTAGCCTTCTTCACGGCTCAGCCCACTTGCCATGGGGACATGATCTAGCTGATAACTAATGTTTTTAAGGCCTTAGATGGGTTATCAATCCCCTTGTCAAAGTAGTATAAGGGGTGTCAATCCATATGTGTGGTAGTTAGGCACTAGTTTATGTGATAGTTCTTAAGTCAAGTAATCAAAGATGAGTTTTGTGAAACCAGCAACAAGAAATCATAAAACAAGAAACAAATAAGCTATGATTAATGAACTAAGCAAGCAAACAAAACAAGATGATGGTGATTAAGCAAATGATAAAAGCTAAACCTCTAGATGTGATCATTGATTAGGGTGCTTTAGATATTGAATCATGATGCTAAGAACATAATGCAACACTTGCTACTCTTTAGTCTAGGCTTCTTAATCAGATTAATTCATTCCCATGACAATAATCCCTTTGCAAATCACTTAATCAAGTCTAACAACCATTAGATATAATCAAGCAATCAGCAAGCATAATGCATCAAGCCTAATAAGTGACCAAACAATCTCTCAACCAAGAAGACTGAATCTTATACAGAAAGACATAACAAGCAATCACATGATCTCAAACATTTCAGCTTAGAACTCTAATCTAGACTAATCCTCTCATGAAGGCATTAATCTCTACACTAATCCACTTTCAAACCAAATAATCATTTGTGAAATATGAATCAATGAGCATTAAGAAACATTTCTAATATGTCATTCATGCATTTAACAAATCATTCCCATGATGAAAAAGGCATAAACCCTTAAGTTAGCTCATTCAGGCATTTCATCAAACACTTTTGGTGCATGAAATGCCTATGAACCCAGATTTCACTTTCCCAAGGAAATCTGGCATTAGGAGCAGCTAACTAAGGAAATGGAATGAGAATCTAAACCCTAAACATCACCAATCAAACATATAAGCACCCTAATCTACACACCTAGAAGTTTAAAAGATGACTACTCACTAATCATGAAGAACACATCTAATCTTTTGCAAGAGATGATGTTAATCATGATTAGAAGTAGAAATGAGATGATGATATGATAAGAAACAGACTTGGAATGATCAAATCCCTTCAGATATCTCTTAATCAAAAACGTTTTACACTAAAAAGGAAAGAAAACTAGAGAGAAAACTAAGTAGAAGATAACATTTAGGGTTTTTCACCCAAAAAAACTATATATACTAAGTGCTAATGAACCGGGTCAGCCCGGAACAAACCGGGTCCTGACCCGGCTTTAGTGGGTAAAGTGGAATTACTGCGGGTTGGTCCAGTGTCTCCCAGGTAGCATACCTAAGCCGCAGGGTTTGTTACTTAGACATCTTGGCCGTTCTTCTTTCTGCTGCGGCTTGGACCTCTTTCACCAGATAGCACGCCCAACTTGGAGTAAATTGCGAACATTTGTGCGGCTTGGTCTTCTTTGTTCCCAGGTAGCACGACTAAGCCGCATCTTTTATGACTTAGAAAACTCGGCCATTCCTCTTTTTACTGCGGCTTGGACCTCTTTCACCAGGTAGCACGCCTAACTAGGAGTAAATTGAGAGTGTATGTGCGACTTGATCTTCATGCTTCCCAGGTAGCACGCCCAAGTCGCAGTATTGTGGACGTAGCAATTTTCTTGCTCGGGAGCCTCAGACCTCATCCATTGATAGCTTACCCGCACTTCTCAACTCGCAGCATCAATCTCCAGGCATTCGTCTTCAGGCCTGCGAGTTGACCAAGTCGCAAGGCTTTCTCGCAGCATTCAGAGCAGCTTGGACCACTTCGCATTCCGGAGAGTGTAACTTCTACGATACTTGTCCGAATTGAGTGATTCTAGTTGCAGAAGACAGAGGACTCATACATCTCCAACTTTTGTGAAGGAAGCTTCGGTTCTGGGAAGTTGAAAGCTTCCTGGAGGGCTCATCTTTGCAGTGCATTTACACGATCAGAGAGAGGCGTCTAGACATGTGTCCATTCCGGAGACCGTATCTTCCTACTCATAGCTCCGAATTGAATTATCTTGGACGTTCTGGAAAGAGGACTCAAATGTCTCTGATTCTCATGAAGGCACCGGAAACTGAATCGGCCTGGAAGTGCACCGTCCTTCGCATTCTTCGGAGCTCATCGGTTCGGTCCAAAACGGCAGCGAGACAGGAGTTTCTTCCGACGAGCTTAACTTTCTGCTCACGCCTCCTAATTCCATGATTTTACTTGCTTTGGAATCGTGATCCAATCTTCTCCAACTTTGATGAAGCCCCTGCCAACTGAATCGGACCGGAAGGTTCCCCGGACAGGCGATCATTCAGGAATATCGGATTGCTCCGGAATGAGGGCGAGAGAGGCCTGTTTTCCGGTGACCGTATCTTTCAGCTCAGTGCTCCAAATGCCCTTATTCAACCTCTCCTGGGTTCGTGACTCAAGTATCTCCAACTTTGTTGAAGACTCTATAAGCTGAATCGGCCGGCAAGATCTTCCGGTGACGCGATTTCCGAAATGTAGCTGCACCTGGGAATTTTGGCCGAGAGACTTGACCGCGGTACGTGTTTTTGGCCGAGAAAGCTACCCGCGGGAAGGATTTTGGCCGAGAGTCTTCGGCCATCAGTACATCATTTTGCCGAGAAACCCAAAATTGCTCCTTTTCACCATTTTTGATCATTTCAACTCCATTTCTTCATCTGAATCACATCCTCCACTCCAAATAGGCTCCAAAAGCACCTGTTTAACACTCCAAACCATGCAAAACTCTCTTGGACCTAATGCAATCTCCTAAGTCCTAAAACAATGCTTAAAGACCTAAAATGCATGCAAATGAGACATGATTTGGACTAGAATATGTACATTAAATGATGCAATTTATGAATATATCACTAGCCCACCGCACCGATACACGGCTCGGCCCAAACGTGTTGAAGTGGGGCTCGGCCCATTTCTTTTGATGCGGCTCGGTCAACCTGTCTTCTTTCACGGCTCTCCCTACTGGCCTATCTGCACGGCTTTCCCATTTGTCTTGGTGAGAACGGCTCTCCACTTGTCATGGTGAGAACGGCTCTCCCACTTGGCGACCACGGCTCTCCCACTTGGCGACCACGGCTCTCCCACTTATCTTTCTTCCATACTTAGCCATTCTGAGGTGGTTTATCTACTTGGGTGAAAACCGACCCCAACACATATGAGGATGAATATGAAGGGCATTACCTCGAAGATGAAGACTATCGTCTGTTCATAGAAGGAGGCAATCCAGACAAAATGGTAGAATTAGGAGCTCCAATCT